GAGTTAACGGTATCATAGGAAACGGTGGTTCAGTAATGTTTAGGACGTTAAGTACTGCGAAGTTGTTTAGGAAAATGATAAGCATATTGCAGTCAAACAAAAATTAACTAAAGCTTGAACGTAATACAATAAAAGCAACTAATGATAATTAGGTTGAATGTGTGAACTATCGGTACGTTTCAGGCCATTAATTATGCAGCGATCATAGTTCACAGCATATCACCTTCAGTTTTCATCTTAGTGATCAAGGAAATTATCATCGAAATTCATAGAATAATCTGAATTTATGAAAAACAAATTTATGAAGATATCAGATTTCATTCAAATGACAAGAGCAATGACCACACTGCCATCTTTGATAAGTACTAAAAATGCTTGCATCTCTTGATAGTGGAAATGTTTTTGAGATCATTTAAAACAATGTGCTTTCACACTTTCTATCAAACAGAGATGTCCTCAAAATCTTTTCTGAAACTTGAAAGGATGATGAATAGCCATCTCCAGTTAACATTTTCAAGCTGATTGTATTTTAACACTGGACATTGTATGCCAACTTGGTTTCTCTCATCATTAGTGCTCCAACTTTAATTCATCAGATGTCTTTGTTTGCGCAAATGCCAAATTATACTATTTGGAATTTCAATTGTTCTTTGCGATAAACAAGACTACTATAATAAAATGCAACGGAATATATTACTCAAATATTCTTTATTTATTTCAAGTCTAACCATGGAATAATATCAGTTAAAGAACTATTGAAAACTATGAAGTACTGGACATCTGTTTCGCCCTAGTTTGGGACCCATCGACAGTACACACCCACTGGTGTTGCAGCCCAGGACCTTCCGGTTATAAGTCAAGCTCAGTGGTTCCCTAACTGATATCAAGCTTGAAACAAATCAAATCTCCATAAACTAATTCTTGAAAATTATTCTTTATTTAATTATATTCACCTGTCAGTTACTAAGCTGAATAGTACATGATATAGACCTTTAAATTTCCAAAAGTATTATTTTGAAAACCCACTTACGAGAATTCATCATACGCAGGTAGTTCACTTTTGTTTCCAAATGAAATGATAAAATCCCTTCGACAATACACATTATAGATTAAACAACGTAACGTCATATTATCTACGTGGCCGAATGAGTAGAGGCGGAGAGCATCCATTCAGATAAGGAATATGACACGCACGGTAGGCTAATCGCAACAACAATTCCAACTATAATACTGCTTGGAAACAGGAAAAAAGACTTGGTCACTGTGAGAGAGTTTTATTGTCTCGTCAACAAACAACAGAAGTAGAAGAGAACAACTCTGAATACATGCAATCATTGTGACCTTGACCAACATTTAAACTATCAACAAATTTAAACAGTCAATAATCAATGTGAGTTCAGCCTTCAGAAAAGTGGGAAAAGTAGAAAGGAAAGCCATAGTACAAAAGGAGTGTGGCAGTATTTTAAATTTCAAGATGAAAAGTAATACAATGCAACCGTAGAACTTGAGCAGTGTGGTTGAATACTAATGTTAATGATAATAATATTATTTATATTTATTATTTTAATGTTATTTGATACTGCATTACTGTGTGTTAGTTCAAATAAACTCATCTAATATGGAAAAATAGTGTAATCAAAAGGGTAAGAAACAGGAGCTATGTGTATAATTTGAAATACGAAGCGCTTAATCTAATAATCTATGCAATAACTAAAAGGTTGTTATTCGAATACATAAACGATCTGATCAATCAATAATCAGTATACTCCGATGTTGTTATCCAGTTCAAATAATGTTTCTTCTTAAATCAAACAAGCGGTCTTCTGCTTACTTTATTTCGAAACTTTAGATTATAATATCTACATATGAATGAATCAGAGCTTTAGATGTAGAAAATAAGTTGCTATGATTATGAACATTTGATGAAACTTTTTTTCTAAAACTGGCTGATCCCAAAGGCATTCGATATTCTATTTTTGTAAACTTTATTGGAGTTTTGTTGCTCAGGTGGATGCTTTTGATTCAGTTGTATTCTGAATTGACTGATTTAATTGTGAAGCTTTTGTCATGTTTCTAGACATCTTTAGTGCATGTTTTAGTACAAAATGAGCTCATTTGAAATCTCCATAAATGATATAATTTTGTATCCTGTCTGTTTTCCACATAGAACTTTGCACAAATGTGCGGAAGCTCAAGTCGCCACACTCCGTGTAGCACGCGAAGCAAGAGAAGAAAGTATAAGAAAAGCATAATAGAAACTGTGAGCAGAGGGGTGAGACAAAGGAGGAGTAATAACGAAGAACAAAACAGTTTCATTGGGAATCATAAGTCACAAGGAGTGGATACATCTGCACCAGCCACTGAGAACAATTTTGAGCCATACCACCAATTGTTTCCAACCATTGATTTTTACCGTCCCGAGGACCCCAACCAGTCAGGAAGTCTACACCTTCCTACGTGGCTTAGAATAACTGTTGTAGATTTTATTGACTGGTGGTATGTTTTTGCTTGACCTCCGCTAGCTTTTTTCCAGCCTGACCCTACATCAGCTAACATTGCCCGTCTATCGAGGAAGGCGATGACTAGGAATACGTAACACATATTCTAACCATCTCAGTCTATGTAACTTCACAATCTCGTCGATTGATTTCCCCTCCTTACCTAGCACTCGAACAATGCCTAAGCTCAATATTGCTCACCTTATTATGCCACTTCACACGGGAGATAGAACGCAGGCACCTATGATCAAAGACAGCTAATCTTTTCATGTCTTCCATTCTTAGTGGAAGACATGTATCCTAGCAACCATTGTCGTGAGTGGTTGTCGATTTACGTTTCCACTGATCATTTCTATTGACTTGGAAATTGAACTTTCTTGTCATGTGATTTACTTTTTAAGAACTAGCAAATTTAGTCAGAAGTCATGTGTTTGTTGATTGCTAATTCATTTGAGTACCAGGCTTTTAGAAATTTCCTGGTATTACTTTAGGTGTTTCCTCCATTTAGAATTTCTACATTATCCCAATCAAATTATCTGCATGCATTAATACGAAGATTATATACCGTGTCTTTTTACAGTTAATTTGTCTGCTTGGATTCGAATTAAGAGGAGACGCCCACTCTGACCAATATAGTGTTTGCTACAATTTATTTTGTAAATGGTATAATTTTATCTTTTTTTTCTTTTTGGATCTTTCGGTGTGCACAATATCGAATGAAGTGATTGGCTGGCTAGCTTGTGCGCTCTATATCTATTTCAAACGGTCCTAGTATTCTAGTTATTATTTCAGAGATATTTTTTATATATATGGTAGAATGAATTTGCTTGTGTTCTTTAATGATGGTTTCTTGTTGGTGTTATAACTCGAGCTTAAACACTTCTTGATGAAATTGTGAAGATATCCATTCTTTTTGAAGACAGTTAGTAGGTATTTTTCCTGCATTCTCTTCAACATTGAAGCACTACAATATATATATATATATTCGAACTCTTTTGAACAACGTCTGCATACAGTTTCTTTTACGGGTAAAACCTCACTGAAAATGTTGTCTAGAAGGACAATAAAAGCTTCGCAATTAAATCAACCAGCGCAGAGAAAACACGACTAATTCAAAATAGACGTATTTAGTAAATCCTACTACGGGACACTATCAAACACAGTTTAAATGTGTTTTATTCCAATCCAAGTCATTTAAAAAGATTTCATGAAATGTCAGTGATCAATCTGGTATATTCGACAACAAAATAATAAGTTTAAAGAATGCCTAGTACATATCAAATAAAAAATATTTTGATTTATTAAGTAATGTTGTGTTATTTAAAAATAATAAAAACTAAAGTCTTAATAACAATCAGTAAATATACCAAACTGCATCCAAAAGTATCTAGTCAATAAATTTCAATATAAGAAGGAATGATGTTAAAGTTGGATAGATAGGATACACCACCATTGATAATGATGATGATAATAATAATGACTATTGATGAACAATATCAGACTAGAGAGTTCTAAATTTATTTAATAAAGTTAGTTTAAAGAAGCCTGATCCAACCACCCATCCATCCGATAATCAAACTCTTTTTGCATACGTCCAGCCTATAAAAGAAGAACTAAAAACGGTTTTTTTAGGTCAGACATGGGAATTTTATTGAACTATTGATTCGATGAAAGTCAAACACAACAGGTTGTCAATGCACATCATTATATAAACAATGAAAACAAAACAATATCATTCAAGAAAAAAAGAGATGTAGGCAGTTAAAACAGGGAAGAAAAATAAAAGAAAGTAAAAAGGAATGTACGTGACCACGGGAACACGGAAACAAAGGGAAATTAACAACATCAATATTACAAAAAAAAATAAGAATAATAACAAATGCAACAAAAGCTGATACTAACAGTGTAATGATAATTGTAATATAAATGAAATAAACAAGAATTGTGTGGTTATTGTGTGCAATGATTCACATTGGTCACTCCTTGGTCATTATCACTAATAAATATCATGAGTCATAACAACATTATTCAAATTATAATTAATAATACGACTATTTTGAGTAAATATTGCACAGAGAACAAATTGAAGTTTGACTGAATATTAAAATCTAACTTATAAATAAATAAATAACAAAAACAACAAAATCAGAGAATAGAATTTTTGCAAACTTGATGCGCGTTTTGTACAACTGGTAAAATGAAATAATACTAATATTATACGTATATGTCATGAAAAAATTAGAAGAAAGTGTATATTGTTGTTTTGATAGGTGCAAACAATAATTTACATTGAAATCAAAACAAATGAAAAAAAGGAAATGCAGTTTTGAAAACTGGACTAGACATATACACATATGTATGCTGATGTTTGCATAATACAAAGGATTCTGAACATAGAAAACTGAAAGAGAAAGAGAAGCAATTTACAATAGATAAATACCTGAGTGGTAAACAAGTGTATTTTATAAATGCATACTACCTGTGTCATCAAGTAAACAACGTTCAACAACCTGGTGAACACATCTTTGATGCTTTTTCATAATTTTCAGAAGATGATGAATATACAGAATGAATGTTTGGTATATCTGGTTGTGAAGTAGAACAGGGAATAGTGTTTGATAAACTTTCGGAAACTGTGTGTCTTTTACACCAATTAGGTAGAGGAGTCCGAGGCATAAGTTCTGAATAGAAAAGAAGGTAGGCTTGTGCTGCAGCTACTTCTGAGAAGTCACATAACGACACATTGGCATCATTGCAATGTAACCAACACTCTGTTATTCAAAAAATATGAGAATAAAAACATGCAAAACATCAACTGTACAAATTGCTTAAAAAAGTTTATATATATATACCTATCCAAAAATGGTATACAATTTTCTGAAGATACCTACATACACACGATTAATAAGATCAATTTCCTACATAGGGCTTTATTTTTACTTAACACATAACTTGAACATGACTCCAATGTTTCCCACACTTCAGAGTCTTTTGGAAATCTGAAACTCCTAATGCAGTAATTTTACAATGAACAGAGTTTGAATATTTTATGTAAAATATATTCTTGGTGCTTTTTTATTCTAGCTAAATGATAGACGATAATTAAATTTTTTGTATATAAATACTTAGTGAAAAGTAACTTGTAAAAAGGTGCTAACATTAAATATTTGTCTGTGGTCATGTAGATATGGAAACAGGTCGCTGAACAAACGACTCACAAAATGAATCCAATGTAGAGAGACGACGATAAAGCGCAGATTTGGCTCATTGACTTAAGCGCTCGACTGTCACCCAATGGATCCTGCGTCCAAATGCCACTCCAACTATATTAACTTGCGTGACTGGATACCCCAATCCTGAACGCATGTTTTGTAGTGAAAACAAATAAGCAACCAAAACTATTTTTTTTCCTTTACGTTCTCCAGTGGAACATAGGGCTTCAAGCTAGAGCTTTGAGGCTTCTATAGCAGTGTTTATTTTTACAGGATGGGGCTGCTAGCCTCATGCCCAACCTTTCCTCTTTACCACCTATATTTCTGGCTTAGCCAAGTAAAGGAGTGCGTTGGTGGCCGGGGATCGAACCCCAGACCATGTGCACGGTCGGTTAGCGTCCTGACCGCTGTGCCACCGACGCTCATTATTATGGGTTCGTATTGTAACAGTAGAAGATGAATGTGTTTTTATATACTACTGATAAATCTTATCAGTAACACAGCCCGCAGTATAACTTTTGTCATGTACATCTCACTTTATCTTTTTTTCAGCTGAAATATAACTAGCATTCAACCACTTTGATACTATTTCAATCATTTATAAATTTGAATAGAGTAAGAAGAATTACAACAGGATAATATGCAATCTATTCGGTGAAAATTTACGGCAAGATCTTTACCTTCACTTTAATAACAATCATTTTAAAAAAATTCCAGAAGGGATTAATTTTTACGCACTACTTTAACTTTTGCGTGTCTTGAAATCTGGAATGACATGAAAAATGGGTAGAAATATTAACTCACCAGGTTCATCATTCAAACAATAGGCAGTATAGTGACCGGATTGAAATCCTCGCCCATGATGTACAACAACACCAGTTAAGTGATACAAATACTGAGGTGAGGATTTTAGGTACTCCTCTTTAGCAAAATTGGAAGAAGATAAACTATGAGCTTGTGTACTTTCAGTGGAGCCCATTTGTTCTTGTATGCGTTGGGAAATTGTTCGGTGTAATTTGTCGTGTAAGTGAGACTGGCCACATTCCTTTCTGTTATCATCACTTAGCATAAATTCAGTCATATTTAAAATAAGTGGAAATGATACGTGACATGTTAATTTTTCCCTTTGTCTTCCAACCCATCTAAAATATCCAAAAACAATTAAAATAACTTGAGGTATACAGAGAGAGAGAGAGAGATAAAATAGGTGTAATAATTACCAGATAGTATCATGTTGCGAAAACTTACAAAATAGTATGAATGGATCAATGCTATTAGTGTGAGAAAAAGTAAGCGATGTTCTCATAATATTCAGAAAATGAATATCAGTAGGCATTAAAGGTGGACTGGTAATCAACAATAAAGTGAATGACAGGATTTACAAAGTTAGTGTTTGATAATAATTTATGAGTTTGAATAATTTTTTTAACTGCCACTTTGAAAGAGGAGAGAAAACAATGTCATTTTAATCTAAAGTGGGCTTGTCAGAGATGTCTTCAGGATTCTTGCAAAACAAACAACAGTCAATACTAAGCTGCAACAGTAATTCTCCGAACACATGTGAAATTACGTTTGAGAACATCATTTTTAAGGAACAAGATAGTCTGCAGCAGTTAAACAACCACACAGCGTAAACATATTGGGCATAAACTGAGAGTGAAATAACACGATAACTGTGCTTGTCGGTTCCTTTTGTGTCACTCATGGATCTTTAAGTAGCATCAAGTCATCCTTCCAGTGTGTCACTATATTATTTTATTTTGATTACAGCTTGATTACACACCGTATTTTTGGTACAAGTATGGAATTTTCAGCATGTGATATCGGCAGCCCAAATTTTGCGGGCCGGTCGTTGGTATCAGGTGTGCGTCGGCAGGGGATCAAACCCTGGACCATGTACATGGTCGGCGATAGCCCTAACCGCTGTGCCACCAACGCCTACTGACTTATATTATACGAAAGATACCCATCAGGAGAGAGCAATTAGTTTAAGTGAACTTCCCTTGATCCATGCCTTTGCGTGTACTTGTGAATCCACCAACAGTTTGTGGGTAGCATCCTTATTATTTCAGTGATAAACTTATTTATATACCATCCCGAGAATTAATCCTACTTTTTTGCTATGAACGCTGTAAATGTTGCAAATAACTCCACTTTATTCTTGTTATCACTACTGACTTGTGGATGAACTGTATCTTTGACATAACACGCATGATTTAACACTTGATTTTAATACACACAGACAATTAAAACCACAAGGCATAGTGGGCAAAAGGAAAGTATAGACACCAAAGTCAAACGACCTTGAAACGACAAATCAGATCGCTCATTAACACAAATGGATGCTTATCATAATTTTCTTTGCAAGATTCACTCTAACCTTCACCACCCTGACCTTAACTCTGAAACAGGATGAAACGTGCAACGAAGATTATAAAAACATTCATTTGCAACTCTAAGAGATTTGACTGGTTCAAGATCCCTTGGCTTTTGGGTCTATTCTTTACTGTTGCTGTAGAGTGATATCTCCCTAAAGTGATTCAATGACAGCAAGAGAATTTCCAGAATCCTGACATTCTAAAAACACTACAACCAACGAAGGTAAAGTAACAAATTGATTCTACAGCCCAATGAAAATGAAACTCACCACATCTCTATTAACAAAGGATTTATCAAACAAATCAACAGTTAGGCGCAATAACGGTAAAACTAGAATCACTTGATACATAACCTGACAAACAGAAAAATGCTTACCGAAAGCGTTTAATGTGTAACCGTAAAACACGTGGGAGTTTAGAAAGGCGAATTGTTTGCGTTGCGTGAGTTAAAAATGAGTTCTTTGTGGTAGGAAGTGCGAGTTTTCTCGGTGAGTTGACAGTGGATGACTGCGGAGTAAGAAAATGACTTGATCTTTCAACTGATGGATTAATGCATTGTTCTTCAATACAAGTTAAACTGGATGCATTCGACAACATACTCTCTGAAATAGAAGAAGTTTCGGTCAGATCGCATGACGTGCTGAAGTCAGGATGAGAAGATCGAGGACTATGGGGAGGAGAAGCCAGTCTGGACAATACGATGGATACCATCTTATCCACTAAATAAAGAACAGAAAAACAGCATGATACAACTACTGCTGAGGACTTTAGAGACGAAAGTTTTCTACATGAAAAATCACTGACAAACACCAGCATATATACAATTTAGTGTCACTGAATGTAATAGCCAGTTTTTAAGCATACGGTTTTACCTAAATGTGGTTTCCAAACGGTTTCACTCAACATTTTCTAGTGTACACCCTACGCATTTTGTGTCATAGATACTTTGACCAAATATTTTAGTGGAGATATAAAAAGTGATTCTCTATAGTTTTTTAGGTGATGGATAACATCAGCTACAGCGCTACTATATGATGCTTGTCCAAGAAGTTACCCAACTGTCTTCCAATCAAACGAAGATAACAGCAGAGTGATCGAACCGACATCTGCCAGTGGCTAGCATTTCAAAGATACCTATCTCCCAATCCTAGATAAATATTCCACCGGAACACAGAATAGATCTCGTATGAAATATATAACCGAGATAACGGCTACACACTACTCACTTGATTGAATAAGTATGCACAAAAAATATATAAAGATAATTTAATAACAAATAAGTGTCTTTTATAACTTGAAAGGTTGTATTTTCTCACTAAGCTGAAAAATTCAGTTGATAATAAAAACTCTCCTGAATTTTTCTTTATTAATCAGGAAAATTTTTTTACGAACCTTCCTGATAATACACTATCCACTCATGAGAAAGCTTTATCTCTTGGACCAAAATTTTGCGTTCTTCGTATGCATTTTACAGGTCTATCTATCCGTAAGAATTGTATGATCCCTCGTCCCAACATCAGACGACCATCCGAAACAGAAAAGTATTTCAACTTTCCAGCATTTCAGAACCTTGAAAAGGTTCAGGGAAAATCCTCATATATAACGATTACGAAACCTGACAAAGGTTTGAAGTTGTCATCATGAATAAAAAGTAACTACAAATCCTATCTATTCTAGATGATGTGAAAGTATATCCAGCCAAGATTACTCTCAAGACACAAGGCACAGTGATAGCTAATTTGGTGAAAATTCTTGGCTTAAATCTCATAAGCAGACCTATATAAAACCATCTGAATGCAAATTTCTACATATGTATGATATACCAAAAATTCATAAAGCCAGTAATTCTCTACGTCCCATAATGCCAATGTGTAGATCACCAACATATACATTTTCTCAACGGTTAGTGGAATTACTTGATCCAATGAAAATACAATTCTCTAAGATCCATTTGAACTGATTAATTATCTTGATGGTATTGATATTAAAATTAAAAATATGTATTCTTTCGATGCAAACTCTTGATTTACTAATGTATCCTTACTCAAACAATTCATATTTTGTGTGACTACATTTTCGCATATAATTTCCCAATCCCGTTTCCTCTATCCTGTTTAAAGGATTTATTACTTATGTGTGCTAGTAATTTAAGGTTTACATTTGAAGGCGATTGTTCCCACCAGATTAATGGTGTTTATATGCAAAGCCTTTTGGGCTCCTTTTAACGAATATCTATATACCCATATGTCGTACATTGAGAATTTATCGGAAGATTTAATTGAACACGAACCACTTTTTAGATATGTCAGTGACATTTTAATAAAAAGTGGCAATCCTAGTCCTACCACTTCAACTTTAGATCGTGTGAATGAAGAGCAGAATAGCACATTGTTTAAGTCTGTAAAAAAGAAAGACAATCGTTTATCCTTCATAGACGTATCACTTAGTCAATGGTCTGATGGATCAATACAGCCATTCATTTACAGAAAATCTACCTGGACAGGACAGTATCAAAATCACCACAGTTTCTCTCTTGTTCACTACAAAAGAGCTCTCTAGTGAGATGTCCCTTCAGTAAGATTTAACAAATATGCCCAGAGGACATATTGCGATAAGAAAGGAAACTGAAAGAAACTCTGGTTAATAAAAAATTATACAGAGAATCGATTTGGTGGATGGTTACCAGCAGTGGAATCTAGGATGCGCATTTCGTCTCTTTTGAGACTAGTCTCTAGATGAACTTGCAATCCCCAGTGAGTGATGGTGTTCCCCCTGACACTTGAACCCAGTACCCATCGTTTCAAATACCAAAGTGTTAACCGCTAGACCACATGAGCCACGACAGCCACCTCTTGTGAGACGGATTTTGTTATTATTTGATTCAACTTACACTTTTCCATTGATTGACTGGACCGAAGTGCTCGTCGAATCCAACATGTCAACAGAGACCGAACACTTCGTTCAATCAATCAACAGGAAGGACGTATATATCAAGCCACTCTTCATGAGTGATCATAGCACTATGGTAATTAGACAAAGATAAAACGCTGCCGCTAAAAAAACTTCTTATGCAGCTAAGATCCAGGTAACTGAGAATACGGAGCCTATATATCCATCTAAGCCCCTTAGTGAATGCGAAAAATGATGTCACATCCCACTGTACCTACCAATTTAAATGTACATAGGGAGGACTAATCGAACTTTCTAAGTAAGGGCTTCAAAGAATATCTTCAAATGACTTCAGAAACAAATCAAATCCCCTCAACCTACTAATGGTAAAATAAACGATCTAGCTCTTCTATTGCGAAACATATCATAGATATAAATCATAAAATTAATGTTTAAATCTAACTATAAAACGTGTTCGGAGCGTATCCTAAGGTTTATGGAAGCCCCAGAGAATGGAAAGTTTAAACCTCCTCATGTGTTCGAAAACAATCTGTCATCAAAATAAACCTTCCTTGATCAACTTGGTTTTGATACCATGGCAGTTGAACTATTATGTTCCATCAAATTAATCCCCATTGATTTTCAGTGTGTCCTTTTAACTTGACTTATGCCTACCTTCTCACCTACAAAGGCTTTATTTTCATATAAATATATATATATATATATATCCCTATGATAAGTACGTGTGTGATCAGATTATTCAAAACTTGTTGCGCAAATACGTTATACGATTCAGATATATTACGTCTTTTAATTGTTTTGTCGAAATTCATAAAGGGGACTGGTTGTTTCAAAATCCCCATTAAAAAGCACAAACATCTACATATTTATTTCTTTATAAGTTGCAGCATTTGAAAATTATCGACAGTTTACAATACTTAGACTAACCAGTCAGAGACTTGGAAGGTTTATTTCTCTCTCAGTCAAGTTTCAATTTTTACTTTATCTCGTCAGTATAGCTGATGGCAGTTTACTTCAAGCCAATAAACTAAATTTCAAAATCATTTTTCCCATAAATATCAAATTACTAACTTCTGGAGGTACTTTAATCTGTCTGCCTGCTACATGAACTTCTGGAGCTTTAAATACTACCAAGAGTGATAAAAAATGTATTCACAATACATACGACTTGCACAGTATGAATACTTTAAAACTCATTAACCACATCATAGTTTCGAGATGAAATGAAGAGAGTAGGAGTGAAATAAACTAAAAAATTACAGCACTATGGCTAATAAAACATACCAGGATAAGGTTGGTCACTTGGATCATAAATATACTCATTAAATGTTGATCTTGTGGATTCTATCCCTTTTTTTATTACTTCAGCATAACACTGATTGCATTTTACACATGCATAGCTGGCACCATCGATGTCCGACGGACTAACAAATTGTCGAAGTAAATCGACCACATCACATTTACAAGATTCATCAGAATAACATTCAGTAGGTAATGAAAGACTGAGTTCATATATAGGTTCTTCAGTACATGCAATTACTTGACAAGTAGAGCATCGTACATGGCTAACAGAATATCCACGAAAAGCACGATTGATAAAATCACAACTGTTGTTTGGTACAGCCATGGGAATACCCTGTACCTCTGTCTGCAGTCGATCAAGTAGCAGACTTAGAAACTCTTGCGCATCTTGTTGTTTATATCCTTTAAAGTTAGGTAGAGTTGACCAAACTGTATTCAGGAGATTAGTCGGACTGACGATAGATTTTTGACCTGACCACAATAACTTAAATAAATTACGTACTTCTTCATAAAGTGAAGGAGATGGAGTTGGTGAGGTCTGTGGGTCAATTAGTGATGTCGGAGGTGGTTGTCGACCACGCTCGTGGGGGGATTTTAAGCACTGACCACCGTTCAATCCTCCAGAAGATCTGGATGAAATAAATCCTTTCAAACTCGGAGCACCTAAATTCATCTTCCAATCACGAAGAGAAATATATTCACTATTTGGAGCGCAACATGACACAACTTTGGCCACTGAAGAATTCCATAAACTTCCACAGTTCTGAGAGGTTGTGGGGGCTTGGTCTTTTGAAACCGTTGAACAAGTTGCTGGGCGTTTGATAGGGAATATTTGGTCCTCAGTAAGCATGTCTTCGGGATAAATATGGCGCTTTCTTGACTGATAAGTAATTTCACCAAAGGTATGATTCATCACATAATTAGCAAACGGGGCGGTGTGACTAAAAGCAATTTTATTAACCGAAAAGGTAGATTACCGTAAAACTTGTAGTATTGAGTTCATGTAACACGTATTCCCCAAATTACGCAGACCTGTGAAGGAAGGAGTCAATGCCAGTGGTATGCATTTGTTTTTGATCGTTTTCTTGGGGCAACAGGAACAAGCTAATAAATTAACCTGTATGTGATAAAGAAACTAACCTTTGATTCAGCATACCTTGACCACCACAAATGCAATGCCCAAGAGAGACGAGATATTCTTGAAATTGATTGATAAATGAAGAACGTTACCTGTGTCGAACAACTGCCGTCTGTATGTCGTCAGCCTTCATTAAACGTAGATGGTTTCTAAGTAACAGGATATATATTATGCTATCGCTTTTATACTTTTCGACATCGTGACCACGGTGTCTGAGAATCCGCCTGCCTCTTTTTTTTTCAAAAGCCCACTAAAGTCCTGGTTGGTAACTGCGTCTAGAGCCATCCGAAGAAGTTTGATATCGCCAGGTGCATTATCATTAAGAACGAAATCGTCACAGATGTAACTAATTATTCTATATCAATAATGGGATGTGCACTCACCAATAGACGAATTTTTCGTTTACTTCTATGCATAAGGGGTGCTAATTTGAAATGAAATGTGGGTAAAAATAACCTACATTTGTCTGTTTAAAGTGCTGAAGGGCATGTTCAGATATATAACGACCACATGCGAAGTTACTACACGACAGACAGGCCCAAACACTTTCTGTTGTATAACAGCTACTGCAATGCCAATGTTCCGGGGAGAGTATTCCCAACTGGATGCTTGTCTTCACTTTTAGAACGTGCTTGCAATTATCTGTCATGGAACCTGAGACAAAGCATAAAAACAAATAATGTTGGGAGGAATTATTTTATTAATGAAAACAAAACACGTAGATCAGCAAAGTCTCTTTTCGGCGAATTCATTTTCTTAGCTGTACAATCGCAAATATATGTGTTATTTTGTATATATGTGTACATTAAGTTTGTCAAACAAAATTACAATTATTATTATTATTTACGATAAACACCATTTCTTACTAAAAACTAATTTTTGACGTAAAGCCGCCAACTCCACAGACATTCCAAAAAAATTTATTCATAGCTGGGGTCACTAAGATCTATCACAGCAACGTATGCAGCAGATTCCTGCATCCAGTACTTATTAAAAGCAGATGAACACAGTCTATATTATATGCATAGAAAACCACGAGTTTGTAATATCTAACGATAGCAATGACCGGACATTATGAGTTAAACGAAACAGCACGGCACCAAAATATTTCAACATCGTTCTTATGCTTATTCATTAGTTCACAATCCGGTGAACTAAAAAAATCTTGTTCGCATATATATATATATATATATTGAAATAATTCTATATATTATACGTTCGTATACTAACATATCAATAAATCTTAATGAAGTTTTTAAATAACTAAAACATGCTTTTTCTGGCAAAGTTCTTCGTGGATTTCCAGACTGATTACATCCTCACTCTTCTTCATGTAATTATCCTATTTCCAGTGAATTCCCTTTCCTGATTATTGGCATCTTCCTTTTTCCTACCTATGTGACTGACTGACTCGACTCAACATAGGACTTTTGCACAAACGTACCACAGTTCGAGTTGCCACACTCCATATAACACACAAAGCAAGAGAAGAGGGTAAATAGAAATTCCAAAGGGAGAGATGACAGACAGAACTGTGAGGGGAAGAGAACAGTGATATGGAAAAACAACTGTTTCATTGGATGTGATAAATCACAAAGAGTGAGTTCATCTTCGCCAATGAGGACGATTTCGGCCATATCACCAATTGTCTCCAGTCATTGGTTTTTTCTATTCTGTGCTTTTATAAAATGTGGCAACCTACACTGCTGTACTTCAATGCAGATTTCAGTTGAAAATTCATCTGTCGCATCAGAAAAGCACTCTTAACACTACTCCAGATTGGTTTCACATACCATCTAACAAAATACTAGTTAAATTTTGATGGACCTGCTTCCTAAATTGCAACTACGTTTCTTTGTCACAATACGACTGTTAGGTATTATTATCATCATACATAAATTTACTTACACTCCAAACTGTTTTATTTTTTCATGTTAGGCAAGTAGTAAGCTGAGCATTCCTTGGGTTCAGAGCATAAATCTGTAAGTTTCGTTGCGTGTTTTCTGTTTACAAAAACATACACTCCATGATACCTTCAGACAAATCAGTGATATTCAAAAATATGACATTAAATTGACTTCCTGTTACGAAATGGTGCTTCTCATTCCAAACACCCAAAGAAGGATGGTAGTCTAATAACAACCAAATCTTCATGCTCTTCAATTGTATCACCACAACGCATGCTAAGAAAAACGTTCAAAGACAATCCTGTTGAACTAAAGGTATCAAAACAACTCTAACCAACAAAAAGCTCTGGTTCTAATAAGATATGAAACCGGTATGACCAACCTGGGAAAATACACAGTCTATTCTTGCAAACTAATGCAAGACGAATCCAAACACTACATAGCTGAGAGCAATGTAGGACTAATATTTAGTCCAAGTTTTCATATGGAGTTAACGCTGTGTACTGTTCAAAACTACTCAAAAGTTTTCCACGTAAAGTGGAACTTAGTTCGCGTTTATATGCTGGGCATACTTAAACTCTTCCTACCAGTTGAAGCTGATAATATAAACCAATGATCAAACATTTGCAGGTGACCGTAGCAATCACATCATTTGATTTTTTAGTAGTAAACTGTTATTAAATAGATGTGCATTAAATATTGTAGAAATAAAAAACATTGAGTGCAAATGGAGTGTCATACAAAGAATCAGTATATTAACAAAAATTCAGTTTGTGTTACATATACAATTATTCAGTACCAACTGACAGAAAGGCTAACTCGAAGCTGATTACTCATGCAGTGCTAACCGGGGAAAAATTTATAAGAAAATCCGTTCTGTAACCGTATAAATCTAGAGTCAGTCATACACGTCAGAATTTAATAACGTTTCCTCTTATAGACATACTTATAATAAAGGAATCTACAGTAAAATATAAGCTTGCAGGCAAAATATCCACATTAAACCAAGAAAACATAGTGAATATGTCCGAACAAAGACCCAATTTTTTAAAAGACTCAGGAGCGTAACTGATTAGTATTGAGGATCTTCATATACCAATCTAAAAAGCGCTGCATCTGATTAAAAACCAAGAGGAAAATATATAAGCAAATGGACTACGTTTTTGCATACAATTAACAACATGAATAGCATTGATAGATCACTTGTATTTATGTGTTAACCAACGTACACTAGTGTACATCATTAAACACTTCTAGAAAATGTATTTCGATAAGTATTTACCAATTATAATACCCTTTTATGGAACGAACAACACCGAAAGCCAAAGAAAAACTTTTGGAGGGCTTTAGATACTTTGAGTACGTTATATTGAAATATGCATGGACTGTAACTTTAGTAGTTAGTGTGGGTGAGAGAATAAATCAAAACTGCTAAACCTTCCATTCATTACGATATGTTATAGGATATCTGGGCAAAGTTAAACTATCATAGCAAAACTACAGTGACCTTGGGCAACCAATCAGAATCCAGGTGTAATAAAGTCGCATAATCGTTGAAAAATGCACTAAAAACCACTGCAAAAATGATATTATACTATATAGTTGTCGCATATGTTTTGTAAGAACTTCTCCCAGTCACTACACAGATGATCGATAGAGAAACCATGCCAACTGCGATTCATGCATTCATCGAGGTGACTGTAGGTCATGGAACTTTGAGATATACTCATACTTCTGACACTTTATATTGACCTACTCCTAACTCTAACCTAAGTTTAACCATGCGCACAACCTTAATGTTAGATCCTAATCTAAAAGGCTATAACTACCTAAAAGTATGGACTTACAGAAAAAGTACCCTGCGAATAGATAGAATACTATATCTGCTTTCTTCAAGTGCAAAAAAGCAGGCATCATTTTATTTGAAATGACATTTCATAGCATTCCCAGTATCTCATTGGTTCCTGAGGGTCGAACCTTGAAAGACGTTAGCTATGGCTATGACGCGTTAACTTCGCCGAGATCTGTTATGTGAAATTCTAGAGTACTTGACTAGTGATGAGGGGATACGAAATAATGGGGTTTACAATGGATCGGACCAAAAGTTTCAGCTTCAACTCTTCAAAGCTATTCATTTTGAAATATATGAAGTACTTCCCTATCTGACAAAATCAAAAGAGTGAGCAAATAACGGAAATTGCCAAAAGTAAGAAAAGCAGACGAATTTCGGTTACACATCGAGTATTACGTGGCCAAAACTGAATCAATATTTTACTATTTGGACTGTTATACAACGAAAATTTTACCACTATCGATTACTTTACATTTACTTTCCCACTTTGACCATTATTTAATCAAGGCTCACCCATTTCACTATCAGTCCTACCATAAGCCCGAAATCATGCTCATTTTAACCATTTTTCGCCAATTTATTTTGACTTGGTTCGGAGTTGGTATATACGATAATTCTAAGGATTGAAGCCAAATTTCCTGCATAATTTGTTTATTTCGTCACGGACCGTTGTAACTAAATGTTTTTATGAAATCTTTGATAAGTCCAACACCACGGAACATTCTCAGAGCCACAAAAACTCTGCATTCAATACAGAATGACTGCAGTCCATCAAGTGTATCTGTTAATTATAATGCTTTGTGACCTTCACTCAAGTGAAGCATACACGTCAATACTAGAATCTAATTACGCAGGAGAACAATTTTCACAACTAGACATCTAAAAATCAAACATACCACGAAAACGCAGATACAATCTACGGCCACAAAAACCAGCGCCGTCCAAAATCCATCCTGTGTCAAGTGTACAATGGCCTTAAACCAAATATTTAAAATCTACAAATAGCAATTTGCAAATTTCACATGGCATAACTTTAATCCATTATTATTTGTGAAAAATTCGGATTCATAGGATTTTTATGCAGTATGCAAGTGACATTCTGCAGCTGAAAGTGTAGGGATGTGCAGAATGAATTCACATTCAGATTTCAGATTTATTGGCTGAGGATAGAAAGCTTGGAGCCTATGTTAATCCTTTTCTAGTAGATTTCTGTGGTTGTCCAAAGCCTTCTTGAACGAATCAGTTGAGGTTGCAGACACCACTTCTTCTGGGAGTCGGTTCCAAGTGTTTATGACTCGATGTGAGAACCAGTACTCAACAGCAATATGATTTCTCCTTGGCTTTTGAACTTTCCTGCTATGCCCTCTAAGGTGTTCTGACCTGATGTGAAGGAAAAGTGAGAATATGTCAGGTCCGGAGTCATTCTTTAAAACTTTAAACATTGTGATTAAATCTCCTCTCTACCTACGGTATGACAGTGAGAAGAGATTTAAACTGTCTAGTCTTTCCTCGTATGATAAGTTAGCCATGCCGTGAACCATACGTGTTGCCTTCCTTTTAACCCTTTCTAGAATGTGTGAATCCCCTGTTAGACAAGGACTGGCGGCCTGGATGCAGTTTTCCAGTCTTGACGTAACCAGAGATGTATATAAGGAGGTGAACATATCTCTGGTAATTCTTGTAAAGGCTCTGCGAATCGCCCATAAGGACCTGAAACTACATGCAGCCACCGCGCGACAGTGTGCTGTAGTTTTTAAGTCGTGGCTAACTATGACACCTAAGTCCAAGTGAGTCTGAACTGATGGAAGGGTTATTCCCTCTAATTCGTAGGAGCTGGTGCTTGCTTGTCCGATACGCATGGTCGCACATTTTGCAATATTGATTGGGAGCATCCATTCTACGGACCGCCCTGATAATTTGTTGAGGTCCTCTTGGAACGTGGATGTATCACTGTTGCTCTTCAGCTCTCTCCAAATTTTTAAGTCATTTGCGTATAGGACCATAGGGGAGTCGGTGAGCAGAGATAACCCATTGATATACAAAACAAATAGGAGATATCCGAGTAGCGTGCTTTGTGGCACTCCGCTACTTACTGCTGTCTAGGAGGAGAGTTTTGAGTTGATCCTAACCCTCTGCCTCCTATCTATGAGGAATTCCCTGAGCCAGTCTAGCAATCTACCTTTGACACCAAGACTTTCCAATTTCATGAGTAGTCTTTTGTGAGGTACTTTATCAAAGGCTTTACTGAAGTCGATGAAGACGACGCCAACGGGTCTTCTGTTGTCCTTTGATTTGACCCAGCTTTCTCTTGCAGTCAGGAGATTTGACAGGCATGAGAGGTTCCTCCGGAAGCCATGCTGTGCTCCAGATAACAAGCTGCTATTTTCCAGATATGCCATGATACCTTTCTTGATAATTCTTTCCAGTGTCTTGATTAAAGTGCTGATGAGACTGATGGGCCTGTAATTTGAAGGGCGTTGTCTTGATCCTCCTTTGTGGATGGGGATTACTATGGCGTCTTTCCAATCACGCGGCAACACTCCATTTAGGAGAGATAGCTTGAAGATCGTGGTCAAGGGGCCGGCTATGTGGGCTGATAGCTCCTTGAGAAGCCTTGGATGAGGATTGTCAGGACCCATTGATTCCCCTGCATCTAGTTTCATTAAGCAGTTGAGCACGATGCCTTGGTATATAAACTAATAAACATTTATGCAGCGAAGACCAAGATCAAGAAATGTTGGAAAGGCAAATATCCAGCAAAATGATAAGCTTCCAGAATCACTCTGGTCCTGAGAATGAAACAGAGCGGTAAGCTAAATTAAAACGTATTACAATGCACAATGCGGAGTACATTTGAAGTTTGACGCTGTTAAGTGTAGATATTCGCTCACCTAACTTAAGAATCTGTACTGATAACTGAATGTAACACAGTAGTGTTCTGACTGCCTACAGTATACTGTGGCAAGCCATCAGCTTAAGCAGTCCAAATGAATAATGGCGGTCCGCATTAAACGCAGATGTATGCTTTAGGTCACGTGAGTCTAATCTCCTTCACAGTTAGAACAAGACGTATAAGCGAACAATATTATTTTCAATCGGATAGTCTTCAGGCTTCACCCTAATTTACATATGTTTTCTATATAAAAATTTCAACCAATGACAGTGAGTTTGTGGGACAGGTAACAATAATGATAATGTGGTAATTGTTTTGAACGTCGTTAATAACGATTTAGATGGCGATAAGAATAACGAAGGTGGTGTTGATATGTTTATATGTAAATAAATAAATATTTAAATAAATTAGGTTAAATCCTAAAAGTTACGTTAGAATAAATGTGAAGTGGACGGATAATTAGAGTTTAAATCAATATCATTAAAACACGAAGAAAATGTAAAGTAAGGAACGTTGGGAGGGTTTTACTAGAATTCACCTAGGCAAGAAAGGAAGAGACAAAGGTAGGACAAACTTCTTCTGTATGCACAGACTAGGACTGTTCTCTTGAATTCCCATAGGTTTGGTTATGTGTAAAAGGCGGGTTCCAATTCTCTTCGAAGGGCTGGATGGAATGCGATAAATAATTTTGAAAGCACTACTTAGGTCCACTTGGTAGCCCCTATCAATTAAATGAGCCAAAACAGAACTTCTCATAGATTTTATTTGACCTTTACTAGATAATGAGAGTAGGTGCTAATTAATGCGTTTGTTAAGCTGTCTAGTTGTTCACCCTATATGGCTTTCTTCGCTGTAGCAAGTAAATTCATGGATAAACATAGAAGTGGCACAGCTAGGTAGACTGTCTTTCGCTTGACCAATCATAATTGGTCGGCTGTAAAATGATAAAGAAAGGGTGGGGGCAGCCTAACTCCATTTTATCGCTCTCCATAATCTCAGATGTAAAACGTCTCAATTAAATTGCAACCTCATGAACAGTTGTTTCTTCTTCACCACATGAACCAGGAAAAAAAGGAAGAACAATAAAGTTTGCTTCGGGAAAACACTATGTAGAAGAAGTTAGAATCTTTGCGAAGAAGCGCGGTAAAGAAATAAAACAATAAAATTATGTAAAAGTCAAACATTTTTGAGAAATTCGTAAAAAGGAAAAATAACAGTTCCGAGAAAAACATGAATTCATCCAGAAATTATGAGGCACCCCACTCCTCGTTCTAGGGTGTACAAGTGAAGGTCTTATCGGAAGCTGACGATATTTTGCCGCCCGACCGCCGCTGCTGGCCTCAAAGGGTCGCTCTTCTAACTTTCTATTGCGAAGGCTGGCCCATGCAGTTGATAGCTATGAGGGTCGATAAGGTCTTCTGCAATGCACCTGATATGTATGCACGCAGATCCTGAATCGAGAATGGCAAAACTGCATGTGCATTTTCTCTTTCTGCAAAGGAGAATTCACTTCACTATGTCAGACAGATATGCGGTTAATCTATTAACCGTATGAGTGGCCACCAGTTGAGAATTGTCAAAAACGATAATCACCTGTCTGTGTCCAGAACTTACTACACTGGACCTCACCATGTCCCTGGAAGACTTTCAGAAACAGTGTGTAATAACCAACGCGAAAAACCAGAATACAGATTGGTGAATCGAGAATCCTTTATTCTTGCGACAGTATGTAACCAACAATAAGGTGATTATACACAAGTTCAAAGAATAAAAGTTACAACAATAACACTTCTGATAATTTTCTCTCTTCCACCGAACAGCGAACGATGGCCGAAGACTGCTGGATATATGACTCCCACGAAAAATATAGGGGAGTTGGGTTTGAGCAAACAAACATGAATTGATCGTTCAAACTTCAACTACAATGACACTCCCCTAAAAAACGGATCCATCAATTTTTTCCATCACGACCAATACACGCTGACTTGGATTCCAGTGCAGGAGCCTGGGTGACACGGACAAAGCTGAAATGGAAAATATCCAGCGAAATCAACACATTACAGGCATACACACACAAAATCACACTCATCGACGACGACCGACGCCTTCCAGTTAAAGGCATCCTGTTGACATCTTGCAACACAGTCGCCACTTGCTAGAATGACTTGCAGAAAGCAACGTGACCATAGCACCTCATGATGCTCTTCGCACACCCTCTTATCTACCCTCTACCAATTACCACTGCTATCACTTGTCACTCATTCTGCCTCAGTTCGAGTAACGGTGACATGTGCAAGCCTCAGTCGTATACACTCTCGCTCCACGGCGTGTGGGACCACAGCCTGAATAGAAACATTCATTCTCAGCCGTTGATTCCACAGCTAATCCTTATCTCCGTGTGCATGTCATTCTCATCAATGGCCTTCCCGGCGTACACGATCCATCTGCTGTCTTTAACATCAATCAATTCATTCACGGATGTAGAAGACTCGAAACAACTTCAGAAGTAAGCACGACGAAAATTTCAACAAAATCGCGCAATAACAATAAGGTACGAAAACAACAAGTAAACACAGTGAATCCCAAAACACCAATTGATATGACACACCACACATACACAAAAACAGTACACATAACCTCGCAGATCATGTCTTGACGGAATCCCTTTGGAGAATCGCAGGACTTACACCAGTACGCCTGCGACCCTCCTCAGGTTGACGATTGTAAGTTGTGGAATGTCCGGACACAAACAAGATAAACCAACAAATAGATGAGAGATGACACCAAATCGATATATACAAAATGAACATATGAACAAAACAACACACTAAGTAAGATGGACTGCGAACCGAAGCAGTACCCTTGAGAACTGTAGGGCTTATAGCAGTACGCCTACATTCCTTCTCAGGTTGACGATCTAAGTGACAGAGGACCGGACACCAGTAAAATTAACCAACAGATAGCCGAGAGATGATACCAATTCAGTATATACGATATGAACATATGTACAAATTAACACACCAAGTACGATGGACTTCGCTTTGACGTACTACCCTTGAAGAATTGTAAGACTTATAGCAGTACGCCTATATTCCTTCTCAGGTTGACACCCTAGGTTGGAAAATTGTAACAGAGTTGATTTTCTGACCTTCTTCTATCATCCATATCCTCAAATTAGAATGGCAACACGCTCACATCATTGTATTGTAGGATATAAATGACTAACACACATACGACATATCTGACCAACTAAGCGTAGAAACAGAGTAATTTACGCCAAAGATAACAACATCCAAATAGTAATTTGAAACTTGAAAGGCCTTTATTCGTGCAATTCAGTTAAACAATCACACTCTCGTACACAGTTGGCTTATCCTCACTAAACTGACCATTGACTTTCATCCTTTCAAACAAGCTGATACTAGCATAGTCATGACACAAGACACATGACTTCATGAACATCCCTTTCATTGTGGATGACAACACCAACGACGACTGATCGGTACCAGTTGATGAACTTAGCGGTGCATCAGAAGCTGTTGTTGTTCGGCCTTTAGAAGTTTTTCTGACCATAGAATTACCACCACTGCCATCTTTTATGACTGGCTCCTGTTCAGCCTTAACATCTGTCAATGAGTGGGCTACACGCTGATCATTTACACTGACGGTCTCACGAGTATCCATACCTTCTGCAACCGCATCTGCCTTTGATTCTACTTAACGTTCAAGCTGTACAGAACTTTTATTCAACTCAGTAGTGGTAGTAGTAGTAGTAGTAGGCATTCCACCCATCTCATCATGATCAAGCATAGACAGAAGTGAACTATCATGATAATTATCATAAACATCCAATTCACTATCGTCTATTTGTTCGAATTCACAATTTTCAAACTCCTTAATAACAGTGGTAGACAATTTAGGTTCCTCAAAAATCCTTAACGGTTTTATAACTTTACTCTTTATGAACTTTCTCTGCGGACGAACAGTTAATTTCTTAGCAACATTCTCAAGCACGGTCCTTGATTTGGCGGTACGTTCGAAATTGGTGACATTTTTGCACGTGTTCGCCTTGAAATTTATTTACTGCTGATTGTCATATAATCCTTGAAATCATGGTCCAAATCTCTAAAACACCTGTTTGTAGAAACACTTGTTTTAGATAGTGGCTCTAATTCGGTTATAACCACATTACCGCCCGGTAATACAGTATCGACTACTAGCTCTCAAAATGGTTTGAGTGCAGATCTCACTCCTGTGATACAGGTGAAGGATTTTCTGTCAGAGAACTCTGAGTTCTGTAAACTTATCCTCCTT